CCCCAAAACCCCAAAACCCCAAAACCCCTCAATGCATTTTAGAATGATAAAAAGAGCAGAAAAATAATCTGAAAGTTTCGATTTAATAATTGAAAAAAATAATGGAAAATTTAAACTACAATTATGAATTTGAGGATCTTTATGAAACAGAAGAATAGTCAAATCCTAAACCTATGATGATGTGCTTCGAATTTGTTACAAGTAACAATAATAAAGTTCAAGAAGTTAAATAAGAATTTATCATTGACTAAAATACTTCGATGTTCCGTCCAGCTACTAGAGATGAATCAAGATTACTAATCACAAATAATGAATTAAGCAGAGACCAAAACAATTTGTCCGAGTTGGAATAAAACCTAAGCAATTAAAGTTAAGTTGATGAAGTAGAATAGATAAGATAAATGGCATTGAACATTAGAGAGGTCCATATTCCTATTGATATGCATGAGAACATTTTAGAATTAATGTATCACCCAGATGAAATAAATAATATGAGTAATACCGATGATTATGGAGAAGCTTCCCATATTTGGCCTGATTTTATAGAGGAAGATAAAATTGAAGAGATTAAATAAGTCCTATTTGATAAATGAAACGCTCTAGAAACTTGAAAAATACCTGATGAAGAACTAAATGAGTCTATGCAAAAAGAGAGCCAACTTAGTAACTACGATACTCATATAAGAAACTAATAATTTGATGAAGTTTAAGAGGTTTCAATAATATACGAGCAATCGATTAGTGATCCTATAATAAATGACTACAGATCACTTAAAATAGAAAAAGGGACCTTACATCATCATTAAAACCTTAGTCAAATCAATTCTGTTCCAAAAGTTATGGAGTATTCTAGCCCATTGCCTGTAATAACATAAAGAGATTTGACAAATAATAACTCAATGATTTTGGACTCAAATGTATTAAACAATCATAACTAGTAATCCTCAGTTAATGATTACGATGTTAATATAGACACCAAAAGATTTTCTAACTTGAATAAGAGTAATTCTAAAATGACTTAAGATTAATAGACAAAATAGAAAATAAAATAATTAATTGAAAAGAGAAAGAAAAAAATATACAGTGATAAAAAGTCAAGTATTATCACTAGAGGTTCTTCTAAGATGACGACTACTGGCTCTTAGTTCATGCACAGTTCTAAAAATTCAGAAGTCCCTTAGATTTCTGAGTAATCATCTCTGTTCATTGACTAAACTAATATACAAAGAGGGATGGTCAAGGAATTTAAGATGGCTGACTATTACAAGTAAGGCCCTCCTCAAATTTAACCTGAGATGATAAATATAGCAACTTAGGGTCAAGTATTTGGAGCAAGTAATACAAGTGCAAGTTTTCAAGGGAAATCCTTTAAAGAACTAATGATGCAGACATTAAACAGAAAGCGAGAAGGGGCCTTCAATAATGGGAAGTAACTTCTTTCGCCAATAAATAAATCTACCAATCAAGTATTGAATTTACCAGAGATAAATTCATTAGAGATATTTGATTAAATTCTCTAGAAAGAGCAAGAAAAAAGTGGAGTAAGAGTTTTCAAGCAGGGTGAATCATTGAAAACTGGACTAATAGACCTAGATTAAATTTATACAATGGTGCAATCAAAAGAAGCCAAAGACTATTAAGTTATTGGAAATTAAGATTCAACAAGATTAATTCCTCTCCCAAAGTAGCTAACAAAAAAGCAGAAATGGAACAAGGTCTTGTAATTTGCATCTAAAAATCCTTAATTTTTACTAGATGCTATTCCCTCTACAGACTTTAGCATCATAACTGAAGTCCTATAATCTACAAAGACCCAAGATTAGCCTTTATCCTTCATAAATGAATAGATTACATCAAGTTTTACAACTCTTAATTAGTCATCTCATTCAAGATTAAAGTAAAGACTCTAGTCTGATCTAAATTTATCGAGACAGTATGCAGCTGATGACTATTAAAATGTATCTCCAAAAATAGTAGAAGATGAATAGTATCCCTTTATGAAATCTGAGGCTAACACCTCTGTACATAGTCATTACCAGAAAATATAAAAAGATTATTAAGATGCATTAAGCACTTAATAGAGATAAAAATATTTAAAAGGACAGTAAGACATGATAAAATCATCCGATCGTCCCTTTTCGTTTTGCTAACCTAGAATATAACATGCAAATATCAATATAAACAAAGGTAATAAGTCTAGTAGAGCAGCATCTTAGATAGGTTAGTAATCAGTCAGAAGTAGATAAATTTAAGTTAAAGCTTCAACAAGTTTCTCAAATGATAAATAAAGACCTAAATCTAAATCATAAACTAGATACCAAGATGACAAAAGTGAAAAAAGTGTGAATGAAAATTAATTGCAATTGTCTGATAATCAAAGTAATATTGGATCATCAAGAAAATTGCTTAAGCTCACAACATTAGGATCAGAGTAAAAGCCTTAATTAGCTACTCCATCAATCAAGAATCTCAATTAGGATTTGATAGATCAAGAATCAACCTCTACTAAATCAAAGGAAAAATCGGTAAGCAGAATGTAAACTATGAGTTCATAAGGATAAAACAGTTTTTTGAAAAAGGGGTCTGTTTTCAGGTAAAATTCAAATAATAGAAATTTGGCTAGAAAAAAGACTATCAGTTCTTAGAGGAAGAAAGTAGATTCAGAATTACAAGCCAAATTTATTGATTGGTCTTAATCTTCATTAAGATAATTTATGACTAACATGACATAGCACGAACATTTTTAGTAAGTTACAAACCTATAATATTTAATAGTAATAATGATTCAACTCTTTATGCAAATGATGACATTGACTATTTAATAAATATGGTCAGACTGAATGAAAAAAGCATAGAAAAATCGAATTCAATGCTGTTAATTTATACAAAAGGCATGAAAACTTTAAGAGAACTTTGCAAAGAATTGCAATTAAAAAGGTTGGCTTAAAAAATTGATTAACATTACGGAGAGGTAAAAATAAAATCATAATATATTTAGTTGAATCCCAAAGTACTGATAAAAGTCCTCATGCGTTGCAAAGAATTCTTTGTTATTAGAATTAGAATATTGAAAATTCTAAAACATATTCATGATAGAGAGTAACTTTTGTAATAACTGAGACGTGTTGTTAATGATATGGATAAGAAGGATGAGAGATCATTGCATAATAAGAATTCTGAAAAGTGCTAGATACTTGATCGAATGTCGAAGAGCATTAATGACTCAACATAGGATACAAGCAGACTTATCCTTCAATTTCTTAGTGAATATAGCAAATACTTTGGAAAAATTTTTAATTATGAAGGAACTGTAAGATTAATTGATATAACTTAAATGACTGTAGGATTATTTAGAAGTTTCTAGGAGAGAAGCAAAAGAAATTTCAGATGTAATAGAGATCATTAGGGGCAATGAACTTATTGATTCTAACTGAATATTTGGATTATAAATTCTAAATACTTCTTAGAAGTTTAATCAAGAAAATCACAACACTTAATTAATTTAGAGTTAGATTTTCATAATCTTTATTTTTTATTCTCGGGGTTTTGGGGTTTTGGGGTTTTGGGG